GTCCCGCGCTCTGGCCGGGGAAGATTGTCCCGCGCTCTGGCCGGGGAGGATTCTCAGCGCTGTGGCCGGGCTCTCAAGCGCGTTCTCTTCCCTCCCCTACACTAAAGAATTTGGTCATTGATAAGGTCACCAACAATTACTTGTATATCTTGAGTACAGTTTACAATAAATTAGTACCTTGATTAAGATTACGATTGCATGATTTTTATCTCTTGTTCCTGTTAAGTTTGAACTTTACAAAGTATAATTTTTCAACTTTTAACTTTATTCGGTTGTTCACTTTACATCTCAATCTTCCCCACTCTCCTCCCCTTCTCTCCTCCGGCTCCCACCCTCCCTCCCCCTTCCACCCAAAGTATAATTTTTGAATTGAAGGTTCTTTAGTACCAGGATAAACTTTTTCCTTTTTTTTTTTTTTTTTTTTTTTTTGAGAGATCCACTTGCCTCCACCTCTGCTGGGATTAAAGGCGCTCACCACCACTTGTGGCTTAAAAGAAACCTTAAACTGTAAATACATTGCAGAGAGAGCCTGGGAACCTCATTTTCCTGAGCTTTATTATTATTTCTTCCAATAGATATAGCTTGAAAAATTAGCAAAGTGGTTAGATATAAATTTTTGAGACAGTTTCTGTTAGTGTGCATAAACCAGTGCAACGTTAGGAGTTTATAAATGTAAACATTAAACACACACTGATCCTAAGTCTTATTTTCCATGAGCCTTGCTGATGGTTTTGTCCTCATCTGGTATTTTTCACTCTTAGTGCAAAATCATCATAAAAAAAAAAAAAAGCCCCCATCCTTACCAACGTAACTTGGAGGCCTGGTGTTGCCTCCTTAGTGTAGCGCTGGCTGTTTTGGTTCTCATTCTGTACACCAGGCTGACCTCAAACTCAGAGATCCGCTTGCTTCTGCCTGTGGAGTGCTGGACTAAAGCATGTGCTACCATGCAAGGTTGGTTAGTCTTGTTTGTTTGTTTGTTTTTGTTGTTGTTTTTTAAAGATACATCTGGGGGGTTATGGCTAGTTGTCAACAGTTTCACTTTGTTCTTCGAGCCACGGTGTAGTGAATTCAGACAAAATGCAGAACTTGGCAGGCCGACTTTGGCCATGGCTGTCTCAGCCTACTTGCTGAGGACCCCTGCCACTCCCTTAATGAAGCAGTCAGGCCTCAAGGATGGCTTCCAAGCAAGAGAGGATCAACATCCTGCAGAGCTGGCTCTTAAGAAGAGCTAGGGGGAGGTGGGTTACCATGACAGGAGGTCAGGGTCCCTCCTGCCCTCACAGATTGGCATGCCATGGAGAATGGTGGAAAACCTGCCTAACCCAGCACCAGCAATCACAACGCCCAGTCAACTCCATGTGCAACCGGAAGCAGCCAAAACCACAGAAAATATTGAACTGCTGTGCTGCTGTGCAGGAGGCCCTGTGGTTTCCAACTTCTCAGTGCTGGCCTATCACATCCTACC